TTATATACAAGATATCTGTAGATCATCTGGATCATTTATTGAACTTGGTCAGAAGAATCAGGTTTCTATTTAGAAGAGTTATTCTTTTTATTTATGTTTTAATGTTTTTAGTTAAAATTATATGTTTTGGAACCAGATAGTTATTTACGGGCAGACTCAGCAGAACATTAAAAAAGCACAAAGATTACTTGATATTGCCTGGAAAAAGGTAAAGGAAGAAACTCGGTTCGATATAATTCATATGGAACGACTCATCTCAACACCACCCCATATTCCCTATAGCCTGATGAAAATGAAAACCACTTAGTCTTATGTAGTAATAAGCAAGAATCCAGTGAATATTGTTTCCTGCCTGTACATGATGTGATGACATTACCTATATATCATAGAAGCATGCATTGGCACCGTCTTGATCCAATTTCAACAATGGTATGGAGAAATAATATTATGGATAGTATCGTAATCAATTTTCGTATTCACGAACTATATTTATGAAATATCATCATTATCTATTTAATGCTCTGACCAACAGTATCGCATTTGATAGGGCATTGGACCAAATATTCATGATCAACTACATACGTTATATGAAGGCGATGGGTATTATTTATAACGACTATTTATTTCTTGTTATTTCATATAACATGTCTAATTTATTATCAGCTTTTTAAAAGATTCCTTTCATCCTAAAGCAACGGTAACGGATTTCAATAACCTTGGAGATTTCGTGAAGAAATATTTGAATACAACGCAAATATCAAATCCCCAAATCGAGTTACATTCATTGTATGTCTTTATAATCATTTATAAATGAACTTTTCTCTGCAACTTATATGATCAATTTGTTAAATTCTAGGTTTGGGCATATTATTTTTCATGATAAAATAAAGTCAACCCAAAATTTATTTACTTCACCAATACCTGGAACTTATACTCGCAAAATGTTTGAAGAGTGGTCCAAATTGACAAATCCGACAAGATTATTTATTCCTAGGTAAATTTTGATATTGTCATTATTTATTTAATTATTGTTGCTCAATCCTTTCATCACAATCCATGCTGTATTCCTAGCTATCCGAGTCCAATACTTCTAGGAACTCTAAAGCCACTTTCAGATTTTCGAAAAATTATCCAACTCGAATATGTGCCATCTAATGCTACAGATTTATCAATAAATCGGCTGAACGTGCAGTTCGACGTAATTAATAATGAGTTAAAACTAAAGGAGTTTATAATATCCAGGCGGCGTCTTTTGATCGACATAATAATGATGGATTGGTGTGTATATAATATTCCTGAAAATGTATAATTCTAATTACTGATTTTTTATGTAACAAAGTCCAAAAGACATTCGATTATTGTCGATTACCAAAGAATCCTTGCCTGAAAACAAAAATATTGAAAGTTTAATTGGTCAATGTAAATTCAAAGGGTACGTTCTTATGATCTTATTGATTAACATTATATTGTATATATACATTATATTAACTACTAAATGTTACAGCGATATTCAATGTCCAAAAGAATATACTTTGAAAACACATGATGAATCAGCACCAATTCCATATTCTTTGGATAGTGTAAAATTATATACATGTAGATATTACGAATATAATGGATTTACGTTAATTGTTAAAAAGGTTTTAGAGCAAGAAACAAATATCATTAGACCAGAAGTTAAGGTATGATTGTTTATTGAACTTATTGTTTTTATCGAGATTATTTACATTAACCTATTTATAAAACTTTTTAGTTATTGTATGTGCCAGTTACTAATATTCCTAATGAACCTAATGAAACTAAAAATTATTTAGATTTCGAACATTGGGATAAATTCGTTTCTTCAACTCTAGAATTTGCTAACCTCTTAGATTCGAATTTCTGCAAGCAGACGAATCAAATATAAGATTATTTAATAAGGCCAATTGATATAAACTATTTAACATTATTTAACATTCAGCCTAACAATAATCACCTTACGTTATGAGATCTAATTATTCATTAAAAATTTGAGATTCAATCAATCAATTTAGTTATTTTATATTTATTATGGTTTTGTAATACAAAAATTCAGATGATAGAGTTGCCTGCCGTAATTACAACCTTTACGACATATAGGTTGCAATATTACGACATATAGGTTGTAATATTACAACTTGTTAAAAACAATTACGGCAGGCAACTCTATCAGATGATCGATAGGAACACGCGACTTATACAATGTATATGGAATGAGTTAATAAATCAAGCAAATTTTTTTAATTAAACCCTTTTTTAGTGATTGCATCTGGATAAAAATTGCCATTATATATAATGACTTGCGTGGATAATTCGAGTGGAGATTTTCTCTCAATTACAATTTGTCAAATTTGGTTTTCTTCTCTTTATTCAAAGTTTGATTAATGAAAATTTTTGCTTTATTAACTCAAACTATTGGTAAATTGGATTCATAATTAAAGAACTTGGGTTGATATCTTGTAGTGTCAATATTATAAATAAAAAAGAGGAATTGTAAAACCAATCAAATTGCTTAATCAGGTAACACTGCATATTTATGCATAATACTGAACGGGGCCAATCAGATCAACTTAGATTCTGATAATCTAGTGTATAAAATTTTTAGAATTTGTAATAAAAAAACAAAAACAAGATTAATAGTTTAACAAGGCTCGTATCGCACAGGATGCAGTAGCATTGAGCATTTTTAGTGCACTTCATCTTTTGAGATTTGGTTTGGGTAGGTAAAGAAACCAGTGCGGCTCACTTCGCGATCATTTACATGAGGTTAGAATTAGCATTTGATTAGTTGCGTTATAGGAATTTCAAATCCTTTAAGTAAAATCGCATTTTTTTCCGGTGTCCCTGGTTGCATGTTTAGTAAATTGGTACTTTACGTGATGAAATGTCGGTAATACGAACTTTACTTTTATACTAATATAAAATTTAACTAAAAACATAATTTTTATTTTAGTATATAATCAAAAATTGATTTTGCTAAACAAGTTACATGCAATATATAATATAAAATATTTATTTTAATTAATTATTATATTTTTACTATAAACTATATCTAATTTACTTGTATATAATTGGTTAATTTATTAATTATATAATACAATTTATTAATCATACAGTATATTCATGATATCAATACAGTACATAAACAATTCTTTACTATCAGCATTTTAAAAAAATAGGATTAAATTATTTTATAAATAAAAAGTCTGTATACTGTATAACATTATGATATGTTCTGTTCTTTTCTGTTCAAAAATCTGAAATAATATTTTTTCCAGACGATACAATAGTCAATGTTGTAAACATTGTCATTAGTGAATCTTTAAATGATTAAATTATCACTCATTTTTTCTTCCTCCCTTTTCTATTATTACTTTTACCATAATTTTTATTCAACGTTTCGAAAGCCTTTCGTAGATTTCCGTGTACTTCTTTTAACACTTTGTTGACTATTTCATATTCAAATCCACGTCCATGTAACCATTTTGCCATAAGTTTTAATTTTTCTTTTTCGACTGTATCTTTCCATTCTTTCATTACTTCTTCTTTAGCATCGAATTGTTTATCTCTATCTATAGCCTTTATCTTCACTTTAAAGGCTGAGCTAATTGGTCTATGATCTGATACTTTACATTCATATCTTTCATAATGTTCCTGTATTATCCTTGCCCTTGGTCCTCGATATAATATTCTATCACACCAAGCTGGTATACGCCGTTTTTCTGATGTATCATATTCGTCTTCACCTGGATTATATTTATATGTTGGGTCAAATCTTGGTTCGCCTTCCAAAAAGGAACGTAACCGGAATGAAGGATTTGTTTTTCGTTGTTTAATTAATTGATCATGTGCCAATAATAAATCATAATTTTTCTTTGCAATCGCTTTGAGGACTACTTCGCGTTGCGAATCTATTCGATAATTAAGATCACCACTTAAAAAACAAATTTCATGATCAAAGACCATGGTACCATCACCTCCGTGAGTAAATACATTCTCATAATCATTCCATGCTTCTCTGAAACAAACGGGAAATGTAGTATTTTCTAATATACTGACTACATCTTTGTTTCTCGCTAAAATTTCTTTTTGTCCTGCTGCTAAATGACAGTTCACAAAACACATAGATGAATCGTCATATATGAAACGTGTCGCTATCGAACCCTATGGTATTAAAAAATTTGCAAGAACCTTATAAATTTAATAATTACGAGTGAATTTAGATTATTAAATGCGTTATACCTTATTCCCGTTGTAACCTCCTAGTCCGGTTTTATGCATCGCAGTATTAACCTCTCTTATATTTTCTTTCTCGGTTTTCTTGACAAAAAAACATGAGAACAATCCAAAAAGATTTCCTGTACTGAAAACTTCATATTTGTCACCAGTCGATGCATGTTCAACCATTTTCACAAGCTTATCACGCCACTCTTGGGATCGTTTTTCGAGATTCTCTTCTACCTTCGATTGAAGTTTCTTTTTGGACGTCAACATAGTTTCTATAAATTATAAACTAAATAAATATGGATAATTTTTACACTGCAATTTAATATAATATTAATAATACATACTTGCGTTCATTTTTTTTGATTTCAAATCAAAAATTTCCTGAAACCCAATGACAATAATGTCGGGTGACTGTGTGCTTGCAAGCCATGACCTCATAAATTTAATGCCATCAGAAGATTTATCCAGATCGTTAGGTTTGCAAGCACCAATGTTCCACGAACATATTAGAATTCTGATATCCCTATAATTGCAATATGTTCTCTCTCGCAAACACATTTTATCAGCTTGTAAAAATAAATGATATTTTAGTTTTAGATTTGTAATCTAATTGATAAATTAAATGCTTACCAATCCAATCCTGCTCCATCAACCCATCCCAAGAAATAATTGCTCCCTCAGAACTACAACTTGCAACCTGTAGTCGACCAACTCTCCATAATCCATCTTCATCCAATTGCATATCGATAACTGGTGATTTATGAGCCTTCCAATCTTTTATAGTGTTCCATGGGCTACTTGTGACATTGTATATATATATCATGCCAGTCTTAAAACCAACCCAAAGATAGTCGTTAACACCCAGCAAAGACGTGATACTATAATCTGACGCATGAACCAATGCTACTCGATTATATGATTTAACGTCCCATACTGTAATTTTGCCATCTTCATGCCCGACATAAACAAGAGAAGAATTACTGGTTTGTGTCATGCGTGTTATATTTCCAATTTCCGTTCCGATGTTAATTTTTTTAACAGTTAGCTCATATTTATTATCGTACTTGTAATGTGGATTAGAAATTTCAATATTTTTATCAGCGGCTGTCCAAAGATGATGGCCGACAATGATTGCGCAGGTCTGGTTTGCCGCAATACGGAACGGTTCTGGGGTTGATTTAAGTGAAATGACACCATCATCACCTTCAGACCATATTAACAATTTTCCATCAGTGTCCAGAGTCCATAACTGATTCATCTGATGGGATTCGAAGCGCAATATAAAATTTACGGAACTACTATGAGCTTTTCGTGTCATTTCAAAATACTTATCTTCGCTACAAATATCAATCGCATACAAATGCCCATCAAGACCACCACACCATAAATAACGTCCAACATCTTCCATACGATTTGCTGGACGCCAACATAGACACGTTACTTTTGAATCATCGTGAGAAATTGTATTGGTATTTTCTCCATTAAGAAGTGACCACACGCGAGTATGACCAGAGTCTGTGATTACAATATCACCTCCAATCGCAATAGCGCGTGTTGAAGATTTACTAGTAATCTCTCTGAGTCCCTTAAAGTTAGGTGGTCTATGATTAATTTGAGATACATCAGGTCTTTCATCGTCAGATTGAGAGTCTCTAAGCACAGGATCAATAGGATCAATAAAGTCTGGGTCCGAGTTTGATCGTGAAACTTTGGGCTTCAAATTAGATTTGCGGCGATTGTTATTATCGCCGTCATCGGTCATACGGTGTGGCAACACTGGACGATTAGGAAGTGGTGGTGGTAATGATTTCTTAGTTTTTTGAGTCGAAGGTCTAGAAGGTAATGGTGGTGGCGTATATTTAGAATCATCATCATCTGCGTATCTGGACAGATTCTTTGAATTATTGATCGAAGATTGAGTATTATCAGCCCTCACAGGTTTGCGTGGCGGCTTGTTAGGCGTTACACTAGTTCTGTGTGCATGTCGATTTCCTGAGCCCTTATCAGAGGGAGGTGATTCAGACGAAATTCTCTCATTTGCATACTCATTATCATCTGCAAAAGGATTGATTTCTTGTGAGTCATCAAATGGGTCATCATTATCATCATCGATTAAAAAATTTGAAGATCTTGTTGATTTTGAAAACGAAGTAACGGACTTTGTAGATGATGGTGGTATGAATGATTGCTTAAACCTATCTTTGTTCAATGGATCATCTGACTCTACATCAGTACTACATGCGGAAGATTCTCTTGATGATAACGCAGCAGCCGGCTCTTTTTGAAGTTGTCGTTTAGGTTGTTGATTCATGGTCACCGTATTAGGAAGTGATATATTACGAGAATGTTGCTTATTATCCTCATTCACATTAAATCTATTAGCTAATCCTGAAGTTTGAGGTTTTTGTTGATTCATCTTTTCAAATTTAGATTTCAACGAGCTAACAGACCTTACTTCGCCAAAATTATCCTGATCGGCAAGAGTACTACTGTCCATCTGTATTAGCAGAAGACGAATGAGGAAAAAAGGTTCAGCTTTTAATAATACACAATAATGTTTTCTTCACTTAAGTCTAAATATACCGTTGTTTTATTGAAGGTGTTAGATCGAGAATGCTGTTTAATACTCTTTATTGGCTTGGAAAATACATATTTGTTTATTTGTTACATACATATAATATCTGATATTTATATTGGACGCATGGATTGGTTCAATAAATATAATAAATAAAAGGGTATGTACAAAATTGGCAAATTATGTATGATTTGTCACATATAATAAATTTTATAAAATTACACAAATCGACGTACGTACAGTACATTTACTGAAGTTTTTATAAACATGTTTTCCAGACAAAATTTACAATTTGAATGGCTGGTAGTCACATGATTGTGGTGATTTAGAACTCTGCCTGATCAAACTGGCCAATCAGATTCTTTATTGAATTCACCGAGTATACAGTACTTGCCGTTACTCGTCCCAAATCCCAAATTCCAATTTCCAATTTTGTTATATTTGGGATTGGAATTTGGTTTGGGAGGGATTTTGAGAGTTTATAGTCTGTGCACATGTATATCACCGGGAGAATCTTGAGAACGCCCTTAATTAACTTGGTCAATTTTATGCAAACAATAAATAACTAATTAAATCTGCTTTAATATCATCAAGTATACTTTATATCATTAGAGATACTAGTGTAGGGTCACCGAAAATCTGCGATAGCATAATATGCGCATAAACATGGATTTTATCGCATAGCATATGCGACAGCCTATTTTACATACAGACATAATTTGTAAACTTTTTTGGCATAACAATACATTGATGAGAACCCGGAGGGATTCCGATGTAGACAAGCAGTGAACCTAAGACACGCGCGTGTTCGGAAAAAGACAGAGAGCCAAGGTAAAAGTTTGATTGTAAATTTTTATTAATTCGCAAAGTTTATGGCTTAAATTTAAAATATCGCAGAAAATCGCAGAATTTACAGCATAAATTAAAGAAATTTATCGCATAATTTCGCAGAAACAGGCTTGACAGAAAATCGGTGGCCCTCAAAGGAAGAAATTCGTCTGATTGGCTAATGCAAATCAATTGCCCGGGTAACTTATTTATACACTTTAAAGTACTTTTTCGTAGTACAACGTTTTCAAATAAAAAATCGGCACAAAAACCACTTACAGCTTTAGAATAATGCCAATATTCACCGTGCTTAGAAGACAAAAATGCCTTTTACTAGTAGCATTATAAGTTACTATTTGCAAAAAATAGTTAACCAACTAGAAAACAATAACTAAAAACATTATTTTCAAAGATTAAACTAACAAACTTTTCCAATCTAGATAATATGATTTGCCTAAATTGCTATAATAAAATTATAACAAGATGTAATAAATTTTAGCAATATGTATTAAAACAGTCTTGTTATAATTTTTTTTTTTTACTTTTTGGCAGTTTTGTCTCAAATTATAAAAACTTTATATCTATATCAGCAAAAATCTATATCTATATTTATATCTATAACTATATACTAAAAAATTCGTATGCAAAAATAACTCTTTCTGACAATCACTCGGTCCAAAATTCTCATAAAAAAAAAACACAAATTTTGTTGGAGAGTCATGGCCTAATGCAGTGGTTTGTCTAGAGGTCAACATACTGTCTAGCAGGACTCCTCTATGTGACATTCGGCATGCAAGCCAAGAGCACAAGATAACTGGCAGAAGGTGCCTTTGTATAAAAAATCTTGGTGGAGAAGAGGACTCTTTGGACACCTCTCTTTCTCCATTGACGAAGCTCTTAGGCTATACTTCTTTGAAGACACTGGAAAATAACAAAATATTCTGTTATTTTCTTCAAGTCGCACTTTTTTTACTTGGTCAAGTGGTACCTTTTTACTCCCTCTCATCCTTCTGTTAATCTTTCAAAAAATTTTAACAAAAAGTGAGAATTTGGCTTATCCCCTCCAAAAGATCAGCATTGTTTACTTCTCAAATTCAAACAGATTAGCAGAATGCAACTACATGTTTGTTTATAGACAAATATGGTGCTTTTTCATAGGACTCAGCCTGAGAACTCTAATTATGGCAGCAGGTGGCTTGAGACACAGGTTCTCGGATGATAGCAGCACCTAGCTCGAGATATGAATTAGGATAGACAATGAAGCTATCCAGAGTTGGTAGAAAGATTAGAAAGTAAATTTAACATTAAGGCGAAGCTTTACAGTAGAGATATACAAATATTGCATTTGTTATATAATTTTTATCAGCCACGCATAGATTATAATAGTGCCTTCAGGGTTTTAGATTTCTTTTTATGGTTTTTTTTTTTCACAATCAGTGTTTTTTTTTTCTTTTCTGTTTTTTCTTTTTTTCTAGTCGTTTTGGTTACTCCTTGTTGAAAAATTTCTTTCTTTTTGTCTTGTGCCTCTTGAAAAGAAGGAAGAATTAGAAGTGAAAAAAGAAATCCTGATGTGGTATACAACAATCTGTCAAATGATTGAGAAGGGTATCCTTTGTCAATACAAAATCTGAAACAAGTTTCAGATCCTGCCATGAGACTAATAGTTGTTTTAGCAGGTCACATTGGGCTTCGGCTTGGTGAGTTTCTATTAAAATAGAGCATTATTCCAGTTTAGGTTGTTATTTTGTATAATAATCTTTTAGTAGTTCTTAAAATAAATAGAAGCAGAATCGCTTAATATAAAAAAAAAAAAATTTGTATGTAATGATAACGTTTAGATTACCCACATAAATTCTTTAATTCAATTGCATAATCGTAAGTTCTATTAGTTAATATATTTTAATCTATTATATACCAAACTAAAATAGTAGGTGAAACATGTGTGAGATACAAATAAAGCAATAATACTTCCAATCAAACTAACTCAACTTCAATAATATTATCAGAATACTATATAGTAATTCTGCATTAGATATCATTTTCACTGCAAACTAATTTACTTTTAAATATATTCTAGATGTTATTATAATAGCAAATAAGTTTTGTAGCAGAATTTTTAGATAACTTATGATAATTTTAATGCAATAGGATTTTTTATAGCCATCTACAATAGAAGCTATGTTAATTCTAATATAAATGACCTCAACCATATACTGTGTGTTACTGAAAAAGTGAGTTATATAACAGAATTTTTATAATAATTTGTAGTAAAGATCATGATAATTTTACTGCAACTAACTCAACTTTACCTATATATAGTATATTATTGGAGTAGTAAGTATAACAAGAGAAATTATAATACTTTTACTATAAACCAACTCAGCTTTATTTACATCTTTATACTACTGGAATATTGAGTAAGTTTTGTATCTTGTAATGAAAATCATATAATTTCACTGCAAACTAACTCATCTTTAAATACATTCTAGGTATTATTGTAATAGCAAATAAGTTCTGTGCTAGAATTTTTAGATGATTTATAACTATTCTAATACAATAGGTTTTTTTATAGACACTTACAATAGAAGTAATGTTAATTCTAATATAACTGACCTTGACTATATGCTGCATGTTACCAAAATAGTAAGTTATATAACAGAATTTTTTACAATAATTTGTGGTAGAGATCATGATTATTTTACTACTAACTCAACTTTACCTACATACAGTATATTACTAGAATAGCGAGTATGATGAAAAATCATATTATTTCTACTATAGACTAACTTGACTTTATTATATATTCATGCTACTGAAATACTAAGTAAGTTTGCATCTGAATTTTTTATAGTGCCTCATATTGGACATTATATAATTTTACTGCAAACTACATTCTGTAGCAAAATTTTTGTAACTCCTAATTATTCTAATGCAATAGATTTTTTTATAGGCACTTAAGTCATATTAACTCTAACATAATTAAACTTAACCACATGCTGCGTATTACTAGAATAGTAAGTTATATAACAGAATTTCTTATAGTAATTCATAATTATTTTATTACTAATTCAACTTTACCCATTCTAGGTGTTGTTATAATAGCAAATACATTTTGTGGCAGAATTTTTAGGTGATACACGATTATTCTAATGCAATGAGTTTTTTATAAGTATTTATAATAAAAGTTATATCAACTTTAATATAACCAACCTTAAACATATGCTACATATTACCAGAATAGTAAATTATGTAACAGAATTTTTTACAATAATTCATGATAAAGATTATAATTATTTTGCTCTAATTCAACTTTACCTGTATATAGTATATCACTAAAGTGGCGAGTCTGATGAGAAAAATCATAATACTTCAACTGTAAACTAACTCACTTTATCATATATTCGTGCTATTAGAATACTAAGTAAGTTTGTATCTGAATTTTTTATAGTACCTCATATTGGACATCACATAATTTTACTGTCATTATAGGCGTTGTCATAATGGCAAATACATTTAGTAGCAAAATTTTTGTGACTTCCGATTATTCTAATACAATAGAGTTTTTTATAGGCACTTAAGAAGAAATATTAACTCTAATGTAACTAATCTTGACTATATGCTGTGTATTACTGAAATAGTAAGTTATATAACAGAATTTTTTATAATAATTCATAATAGAGATCATGATTATTTTGCTACTAACTCAACTTTACCTGTTCTAAGTATTGTTATAATAGCAAATATATTCTGTGGCAAAATTTTTAAGTGACTTATGATTATTTTAATGCAATGGGTTTTTTTATAGCCATTCATAATAGAAATTATATTAACTCTAATATAACCGACCTTAACTATATGCTGTGTGTTATCAGAATAATAAGTTATGTTTTACAATAACTCATAATAGAGATCATGATTATTTTGCTACTAACTTAACTTTATCTATATACAGTGTATTACTGGAGTGGTAAGTCTGATAAGAGAAATCATGATACTTCTACTATAAACTAACTTGACTTTATTATGTATTTGTACTACTAGAATATTGAATAAGTTTTGTATCTAAATTTTTATAATGCTTTATATTAGATATC